ATGTCCAAGACCCTGCCCATGTCCTCCATAAACACAATCCTGCCCACGACTCAAGTGAAGGCTTTAATTCGGGGACAATTCCATCCTAGATTGTATGTGTTTCCTCCACCACAGACATCCCAGTGTTTCTCTCAATTGGTGTAGGATTTGCATGACCCCACTCACTGCTTAATCTTTTCCTATTATTTTCTATGGCACACAGCAAACAAAGAGGAATTGATCAACAACTGAACATACTAGAGAGGTTTGGGGGATTGACTCAACATGATGGATGTTATAGTTCACCCCGCATCAAGTCAGAGTGCTGTGACCCCCCACCAACAATGGGTCTGGACCACGTTTGGCACAAAGAACCCCCACGACCGATGAAAAATATTTTGGGGAGAACTGACATTGAGTTATAGGAGTATTAGTTCACCTACATTCAGAGAGAACTGTGAACTCAAAGAAAGATGGATCTGGACCAAACTTGGCACACATACCTGAATATGCCCAATTATGAATACTGGTGGGTTTTGGAGGGAATTGCCCCTGACATTTGGATGTTGTAGTTACTGGGATTTAAAGTTCATCTACACTCAAAGAGCACTCCACCAAAGATGCCCCATAAGCAACAATAAATACTGTCTACCTACCTGTCTATCTGTCTGTCTTTCTATCGCTCTATTTATCTGTCTGTTCACCTTTCTATCTATCCATCTATCTTTCTCTCTTTCTATTCATCATTCTATGTATCTCGCTATCTATATACCTTTCTATCTATCCATCCATCTATTTGTCTTTTTCTTTCTATATATTTAACCTTTTATCTATATATCTATGTATCTTTCTATCTGTCTACCTGTCTGTCTATCTCTACCTTTTTATCTACTTATCCACCTATCTTTCTATTTATCTTTCTATATATCTATGTATCTATCTCTCTTTCTGTCTGTCTATCTCTCTACCTTTCTATCTATCCATCTATCTCTCTTTCTATGTATCTCTTATCTATCTATGTATCTTTTGATCTCTCTGTATATCTCTATCTATGTATCTCTCTTTCGATCTCTCTTTCTATGTATCTCTATGTATGTATCTTTTGATCTCTCTATGTATCGCTATCTATCTTTCCGTCTATCTCTCTACCTTTCTATCTATCCATCTTTCTATCTATCTATTGATCTATCTGTCTACCTTTCTATCCATCTATCTGTCTTTCTATTTTTCTTTCTTTGTATTCATCTTTCTATGTAGCTCTCAATCGATCTCTCTGTTTGTCTTTCTGTCTCCCTCTATCTCTTTCTATGTATCCCTATCTATCTATCTATCTCACTTTTTATCTATATATCTATGTATCTTTCTATCTGTCTATCTACCTACCTACTTTTTTATCTACTTTCTATTTATCTTTCTATATGTCTGTCTATCTATCTATCTATCTATCTATGTATCTCTATCTATCTATCTATCTATCTATGTCTCTTTCTATTTATTTTTCTATCTATCTTTCTATCTATGCATCTCTCTTTCTATGTATCTCTATCTATCTATTTTTCTTTCTTTCTATCTATCTATCTATGCATCTCTCTATGTATCTCTATCTATCTATCTATCTATCTATGTATCTCTCTTTCTATGTATCTCTATCTATCTATCTATGCATCTCTCTTTCTATGTATCTCTATCTATTTTTCTATCTATCTATCTATGCATCTCTCTATGTATCTCTATCTATCTATCTATCTATCTATGTATCTCTCTTTCTATGTATCTCTATCTATCTATCTATGCATCTCTCTTTCTATGTATCTCTATCTATTTTTCTATCTATCTATCTATCTATCTCTCGTTCTATTTATTTTTCTATCTATCTATGTATCTATCTTTTTATTTTTCTTTCTATCTCTCTTTCTATCTATCTGTCTATTCCCTCTTTCTCTCTATTGATCTATCTATCCATCTATCTGTCTTTTTATCTCTTTCTATGTATCTCTATCTTTCTATTTATATTTCTTTCTGTCTATCTATTTCTCTTTCCACCTATCTATCTTTCTGTCTACCTTTCTATCTATCCATCTATCTCTCTACCTTCCTATCTTTCTGTCTATCTTTGTATCTGTCTTTCTCTCTACCTCCCTCTTTCTATTTAACTATCTATCTATCTATCTATCTATCTATCTATGTATCTATGTATCTATCTATGTATCTATGTATCTATCTATCTATGTATGTATGTATGTATGTATGTATGTATCTATCTATCTATCTATCTATCTATCTATCTATCTATCTATCTATCCATCCATCCATCCATCCATCCATCCATCCATCCATCCATCCATCCATCCATCCATCCATCCATCCTTCCTTCCTTCCTTCCTTCCTTCTTTCCTGTCAGAATTACATCCAATCCCAAGCGTTGAGAATATGGCGCCGCTTCGACTCCAGCCAATAGGGTTTCCCCTGACGACGCCCCGCCCACTCAGATCCCACACATGCGCAGAACCCGGCGCTGCTTCCGGGGTTCTGGCGGTGACGTCATCATGCCGGGCCAAGCGGTGCTGCTTCCTGCTGCTGCGGCGGCGCTGAGCGTGGCATGCGGGTGGCTGTTTTGGGGCCGTGGGTTCGAGGCCCGCTCGGGGCCGGTGGTGGTCTTCAGCTCCGAGGAGCTGAGCCGGTTCTCCGGGGTGGAAGGCAGCGCCGGGCTGTACCTGGCAGTCCTGGGAGAAGTCTTCGACGTGCGGAGTGGGGTCAAGCATTACGGGCCCGGAGGGGCCTACAGTTTCTTTGCAGGCAGGTGCAAGGCTGGGTGGCCATCTGCCAGGAGGGATCGGGTGGGGGCACTCTGCATTGCAAAGCGGGGTGGGCTGGATGGCCTCGGGGGAGGTGGTCCATAATAATAATAATAATAATATTTATTATTTATTTATTTACTTTGCTTCTATACCGCTGTAATATAGTAATGCTATCTTCCTGTATTGCAAAGGGGATTGGACTGGGTGGCCCTCTGTCGGGAGGGATCGGGTGGTGCCTTCCTCTTTGGGACTGGATGGCCCTTGGAGGGGTCTCTCCCAACTCTGAGACTCTATGATTATAATATAAGTTAGTGATATTATTATAATACTATATATTATATTATTTTATTAATATTATATATTATTAGATTGTTAATTATATATTATTATTAATTATATATTACTATATATTACATAATATAATATTATGTATATATATATATTATATTATAATATTATTATATATTATTATTAGATTATTATATATTATTAATGATAGTGGTATTATTATAATACTATATATTATATTATTTCATTATATATTATTAGATTATTAATTATATATTATTATTAATTATATATTACTATATATTACATAATTTAATATTATGTATATATATTATATAATATTATATATTATATTATTATATATTATTATTAGATTATTATATATTATTAATTCTTAATATTAGTTGCTAAACTTGTTGACCAGAAGGTCGCAGGTTCGAATCCAGGGAGTAGGGTGAGCTTTCGCTGTTAGCCCCAGCTTCTGCCAACCTAGCAGTTTGAAAGCATGCAAATGTGAGTAGATCAATAGGTACTGATCTGATGGGAAGGTAATATATATTATAATATATTATAATATATTATAATTAGATTATTATATATTATTAATTCTTAATATTAGTTGCTAAACTTGTTGACCAAAAGGTTGCAGGTTTGAATCCAGGGAGCAGGGTGAGCTTCCGCTGCTAGCCCCAGCTTCTGTCAATCTATCAGTTCGAAAACATGCAGATGTGAGTAGATCAATAGGTACTGATCTGATGGGAAGGTAATATATATTATAATATATTATAATATATTATAATTAGATTATTATATATTATTAATTCTTAATATTAGTTGCTAAACTTGTTGACCGAAAGGTCGCAGGTTTGAATCCAGGGAGTAGAAGGAGCTTCCGCTGTTAGCCCCAGCTTCTGCCAACCTATCAGTTCGAAAACATGCAGATGTGAGTAGATCAATAGGTACTCATCCGGCGGGAAGGTAATATATATTATTATATATTATAATATATTATTATTAGATTATTATATATTATTACTAGAGACAAAGTTGAAGTCCTTTGGCCACATCATGAGGAGACAGCAAAGCCTGGAGAAGACAATTATGCTGGGGAAAGTGGAAGGCAAAAGGAAGAGGGGCCGACCAAGGGCAAGATGGATGGATGGCATCCTTGAAGTGACTGGACTGACCTTGAAGGAGCTGGGGGTGGTGACAGCCGACAGGGAGCTCTGGCATGGGCTGGTCCAGGAGGTCACGAAGAGTCGGAGACGACTGAACGAATGAACAACAACATATATTATTAATTCTTAATATTAGTTGCTAAACTTGTTGACCAAAAGGTCGCAGGTTCGAATCCAGGGAGCAGGGTGAGCTTCCGCTGCTAGCCCCAGCTTCTGTCAATCTATCAGTTCGAAAACATGCAAATGTGAGTAGATCAATAGGTACTGATCCTGTGGGAAGGTAATATATATTATTGTATATTATAATATATTATTCATTATTAATATTAGTTGCTAAACTTGTTGACCAAAAGGTTGCAGGTTTGAATCCAGGGAGTAGAATGAGCTTCCGCTGTTAGCCCCAGCTTCTGCCAACCCAGCAGTTCGAAAACATGCAAATGTGAATAGATCAATAGGTACTGATCCGGTGGGAAAGTAACAGCGCTCCATGCAGTCATGCCGGCCACATGACCTTGGAGGTCCCTACGGACAACGCTGGCTCTTTGGCATAGAAATGGAGATGAGCAAAACACCCCAGAGCTGGACACAACTGGACTTAATGTCAGGAGAAAACCTTTACCTATCATTAGATAATCCATTATATATATTACTATATATTATTAGTACTATTACTATTTAGTGGAAATAATGATTTCAACCTGAACATTAGGACAAATTTCCTGACTGTGAGCCAGAGCCGTTCAGCAGTGGAACTCTCTGCCCCGGAGTGTAGTGGAGGCTCCTTCTTTGGAGGCTTTTAAGCAGAAGATGGCCATCTTTCGTGGGTGCTTTGAAGGTGATTTTCCTGTTGGCAGAATGGGGTTGGGCTGAATGGCCCACGTGGTCTCTTCCAGCTCTAGGATCCTATGATAGACCTATTGTAGAGTAATCATGATCTCCATGATGCCAAACGAGACGCCTTCTTCTTCTGCTCTCCTTCTCCGTTAGGGAGAGATGCCTCCAGAGCGTTTGCCACGGGCGACTTCAGCCCCTCCGGCCTGACGGATGACCTGTCCGGACTCTCGCCCTCCGAGGTCATGGCCATCCAGGAGTGGCTGGACTTCTACAGGAAGAACTACACGCCCATCGGTAAGAGCATCATCGTCATCATCACCATAGGAATAGTAATAATAATATTAATAATAAATTCTAATACTAATAATGGATGCACAGACACTTTGAGTTGCCTTGTGGAGAGAGAAAGCAGGGTAAAAATAAATACACAATAATAATAATAATTATTATTATTATTAATAATAATAATCATGCATTCTAATACTAATAATACATAACCGCTTTGAGTTTCCTTGTAGAGAGAAACATAAACATATAAACAACATAATAATAATATATTATCATACTAATAATTGATTCATAGCCACTTTGATTCTCTTTGTGGAGAGAAAAAGTGGGATAAACATACACATAATTAATATTTTAATATATAGTAATATATAATAATACATTCTAATGCTAATATTAGGTAATTGCTGCTTTGAGTCTCCTTCTGGACAGAAAAAGTGGGTTGTAAATAAACATATATTAATAGTAATAATTTGATGGTGCCTGAGACTCAATACATGTAGTAATGTAATAATAATAATAATAATAATAATAATAATAATATACAATACATTTAGTTATTATTATTTTATTATTATTATTTGATGGTACCTGAGACTCAATCCATGTAGTAATATAATAAAAATTTGATGGCGCCTGAGACTTGTCATTACTTATATAAATAATGATAATAATAATAACAACAACATGGGGCTTGAGACTTGAGTAGACATATAATAATAATAATAATAATAATAATAATAATAATAATAACAATAACAATTTGATGGTGCCCGAGACTCAATTTGTGTAATAATAGTAATAATAATAATGATGATGATATGGGGCGTGAGACTTGAGTCAAGATGCATAATAAGAATAAGGCAATCAAGTCTTGAGTCATTACGTGTAATAATAATAAAATAACAATAATAAGGCACTTGAGACTTGAGTCATTAAATGTAATAACAATAATATGGCACCTGACTTGAGTCTTTACATGTAAAATAATATTATTAATAATAATAAGGCACCTGAGACTTGAGTCAACACATATAATGGTGCCTGAGACACAAGATGTATAATAATAATAATAATAACTCAATGGTGCCTGAGACTCAAGTTAATAATAATAATAATAATAATAATAATAATAATAATATGGTGCCTGAGACTCTAGTCAATATGTATAATAATCATCATCATCATCAAACTGCAAAGTCTCTGGCACAAGCCAGTAAAGGTCCCAGTGGCGATTGACAAACTGGGTGCCGTGCCTAAAGACCTTGGCCTGCACTTAAACACAATCGGCGCTGACAAAATTACCATCTGCCAGCTGCAGAAGGCCACCTTACTGGGATCTGCACGCATTATTCGCCAATACATCACACAGTCCTAAGCACTTGGGAAGTGTCCACTGTGTGATCCAAGAAACATCCAGCAGAGTGATCTTCTCTGTTGTGGACTCATCTTGTTGTGTTTCAAATAATAATAATAATTTAGTGGTGCCTCAGACTTGATTCAATATGTATAATAATAATAAATTGATGGCGTCTGAGAATATGTATAATAATAATAATAATAATAATGTGATCATACCTGAGACTCAGTAATAATAATAATATGGCACCTGACACTCAAGTCAACATGTTTAATAATAATAATAATAATAATAATAATAATAATAATAATAATAATAATAATAATTTGATGGTGCACAAGTCAAGACAAGTAGTGGATGGAGAGGGAAGGGACCCTTAAAGGCCATCCAATCCAACCCCCTTAATGGAGGGCCGGGCTCCCTCTCCACCTAGGCCTGCAGGCTGTGAAAGGAAACCAGAGATTGGTCTTTCTTTCTTTCTTTCTTTCTCATTCCTGCAGGCAAAGTGTCCGGGCACTTCTACGATGCCAGTGGGTCTCCTACGGAAGCGCTGCGCCACGCAGAAGCCCTGGCGGTGGAAGGAAGGCGCCTACGGGCCGAGCAGGAGGAGCAGAAGCGGCGCTTCCCGCCTTGCAATGCCGAGTGGAGCGCCGGAGGAGGAGGGAGCCGCGTCTGGTGCTCCAAGCACAGGTTCGGCTCAAAGAACCAGTCCCACTCTAATGCCAATCGTCATGCACATTGTCATTTCTCCATTGCAGTCGCTGCCTGCTTGGAACCCCTTATAAGAATACTGGATGACTCAATTCTAATGCACACCCTCATGTTGGGCCAGGTCATTTAACCCCCAAAAGGTGAGGCGAGGATTTGATTTGAGTCAATACAGTATTATTATTATTATTATTATTATTATTATTATTATTATGGATATGAACCCTTTTACAAAAAACCATAATGCAAATCTAATGCGCAACCACATGTTGGCTACGAAAAGGTGAACATGAGATTTGAGTCAATACAGTATTATTATTATTATTATTATTATTATTATTATTATTATTATTATTATTATTATTATTATTATGGATACAGACTCCTTGCAAAAAAAAATGATGCAAAATTAATGTGCACCCTCAGGTTGGCCACGAAAAGGTGAGTATGACATTCGAGTCAATACAGTATTATTATTATTATTATTATTATTATTATTATTATTATTATGGATACAGACTTCTTGCAAAAAAAATAAATCATGACTCAAATCTAGTGCGCACTCACATGTTGGCCATGAAAAGGTGAGTATGAGATCCGAGTCAATACAGCATTATTATGCATACAGACCCTTGCAAAAAAAAAAACAATTGATGCAAATCTAATGCGCACCTACATATTGACCATGAAAAGGTGAGCATGAGATATGAGTCAATATATTATTATTATTATTATTATTATTATTATTATTATTATTATTATGGATAGACTACTTGCAAAAAAAATCATAACACAAATCTAATGCACACCCTTATGTCAGTCATGAAAAAGTGAGCATGAGATTTGAGTCAATACATTATTATTATTATTATTATTATTATTATTATTATGGATACAGACTACTTGCAAAAAAAATGGCCAAATCTAATGCGCACCCACATGTTGGCACGAAAAGGCGAACATGAGATTCAAGTCAATATAGTATCATTGTTGTTATTATTGTTGTTATGGATGCAGACCCCTTGCAAAACATCATGACTCATATCTAATGCGCACATGTTGGCTGCAAAAAAGGTGAGCATGAGATTCAAGTCAATACAGTATTATTATTATTATTATTATTATTATTATTATTATTATTATTGATAAAGACTCTGCAAAAAATCATGACTCAAATCTAATGTGCACCTACATGTTGGCTGCGAAAAGGTGAGCATGAGATTCGAGTCAATATAGTATTATTGTTATTATCATCACCATCGTCGTTATTATCATTATAGACCCTCTGCAAAAAATGATGCAAATCTAATGCGCACCTACATATTGACCATGAAAAGGTGAGCATGAGATATGAGTCAATACATTATTTATTATTATTATTATTATTATTATTATGGATACAGACCCCATGCAAAAAACATGACGTACATCTAATACGCACCATGAAAAAAAATGACGCACATCTAATGCACTTATTGATCATGAAAAGGTCAGCATGAGATATGAGTCAATACATTATTATTATTATTATTGTTGTTATTATTATTATGGATACAGACCCCATGCAAAAAACATGACACACATCTAATGCACACCCACACATTGGCCATGAAAAGGTGAGCATGAGATTTGAATCAATACAGTATTATTATTATTATAGATACAGTCTCTTTGCAAAAAAAAAAAAACATGACGCAAATCTAATGCGCACCCTCATGTTGCCCACATAAAGGTGAGCATGAGATTCAAGTCAATACCTCCCATAGATTTCCAACCCCGACTTAATCCCGAAGAATGTGGGACCAACCGACCCTCTGACCAAACTTGTGTCCATTTGTTCTGCAGTGGTGGAGTCCCTCGTGGCTGGAGTGGCGTCCCCCGGAAGCTGCAGGAGGCAGGGTCGGTGGGCTCACGCTGTGTGTGCGTGAAGGAAGAGGATGCTGCAGAGGCCCCCGGCCTGCAGGAGTACGAGGGGTGCCCCCCGCTCGCCCAGTCTTGCACCATGAAGGGATGACGGGGCAGTCAAGGGCCAGTGAATGCCACCCAGACTCAGTATTATTATTATGTCCTAGATAGATTTGGGGGAGGTTGGACCATGGGCGGTGGGATTTGCAACCCCCCCACAAATGATGTACCTGGAACAAACTTGAAACACACACACCCCATGTCCCACTTTAAATCCTGGTGAGGTTTGGAAGAGGATGGACCATGGATAATGGGATTTGCAGTATCTTGACTCACTTCCAGAGACCACTGCAACCTTCACAAATGACACAGCTGGACCAAACTTAACTACCTAACTAACTTTGCTTGTAACTGTACTGTATGCTTTGAGAAATAAAGCCTTTCCAATCTGTCTGTGAGGTAATTTCTTCTCTAGAAAACTACAGATCAGCACTGTCTGTGTGTCTATCTCCCAGAGGGAGGCCAGCACAGCAGCACCTTCAGGCTATGGGGGGTGGGAGTGAGGACGGACAACAAAGGGAAACTATCCCAACACTCATCCGTACACTCATCCATCCATCTTCTCTCCAATATATCCAATTCTTCTGTCCTTTCACTATCTACGTATCCATCTGCTATCTATCTATTGATCTGTCTAACCTATCTATTTATCCACTCATCCATCCAACCACATCCACTCTCTCTAATCTATCCTTCCATTCATCTATCCATCTATCTATCCATCCTAACATATAGGATAGATTATCTATCTATCTATCTATCTATCTATCTATCTATCTATCTATCCATCCATCCATCCATCCATCCATCCATCCATCCATCCATCCATCCATCCCTCCAGTATCATCTGTCTGTTTCTCATCCATCCACTATCTATCTATCCATCTATCTCACCTATCCATCCATCTATCTATCTGTCTGTTTGTCTAGCTAACCAACTATTAGATGTTTTTTGAAACAGCCAATGTGGTAATCAATAAAACGTACTACTATCATCTGTCTATTTCTCATCCATCCATCCACTATTTACCTAATCTCTCTATCTCACCTATCCATCCATTCATCCACTCTCATCTATCTCTCTACCCAACAAATGTTTTTGATATGCCAATGGGCTAATCAATAAAACATACTACTAATCCATCTAACCACACCCTCTCTCTCTAATATATCCTTCCATTCCTCTATCAATCAGCTATCTATTCATCTATCCATTCTGAGATAGGTATAGGATAGATTATCTATCCATCCATCCACTATCTCTCATCTATCTTCAATCTCACCTATCCATCTATTTATCTATCTGTCCATTCATCATCTATCTAACTACCTAACGTAACTAACTAGCCAACTGTCAGGTGGAACTTTGCTTGTAACTGTACTGTATGCTTTGAGAAATAAAGCCTTTCCAAACTGTCTGTGAGGTAATTTCTTCTCTAGAAAACTACAGATCAGCACTGTCTGTCTGTCTGTCTCCCAGGGGGAGGCCAGCACAGCAGCACCTTCAGGCTATGGGGGGTGGGGGTGGGGGGGTGGGAGTGAGGACGGACAACAAAGAGAAACTATCCCAACACTCATCCATACACTCATCCATCCATCTTCTCTCCAATATATCGAATTCCTCTGTCCTTTCACTATCTACGTATCCATCTGCTATCTATCTATTGATCTGTCTAACACCTATCTATTTATCCACTCATCCATCCAACCACATCCACTCTCTCAAATCTATCCTTCCATTCATCTATCCATCCTAACATATAGGATAGATCTATCTATCCCTCCACTATCATCTGTCTGTTTCTCATCCATTCACACTCTTTCTCTCTATCTATCTCACCTATCCATCTATTTTTCTATCTGTCCATCCATCCATCCACTATCTTAATCTGTTTGTCTAGCTAACCAACTATTAGATGCTTTTGATATGGCCAATGGGGTAATCAATAAAACGTACTACTATCATCTATTTCTCATCTATCCACCCATCCACTATCTTTCTAATCTATCTCACCTATCTATCTATTTATCTATCTATGCATTCATGCACTCTCATCTCTCTAACCGTCAAATGTTTTTGATATGCCAATAGGCTAATCAATAAAACATACTACTACTCATCCATCTAACCACACCCTCTCTCTCTAATCTATCCTTCCATTCATCTATCAATCATCTATCCATCCATCCTAAGATAGGATAGATTATCTATCTATCCATCCATCCACTATCATCTGTCTATCTATTTCTCATTCATCCATCCGTTTATCATCCACTATCTCTCTATCAATCTCACCTATCTATTTATCTATCCATCCATTCATCCACTATCTATCTATCTATCTATCTATCTATCTATCTATCTATCTATCTATCCATCCATCCATCCATCCATCCATCCATCCATCCATCCATCCATATATCTAACCAACTGTCAGGTGGAACTTTGCTTGTAACCGTACTGTATGCTTTGAGAAATAGTCTTTCCAGTCTGCCTGTGAGGTAATGTCTTCTCTAAAAAACTGCAAATTGGGACATCCGCTCCCATCCCTAAAAACATCGGAACAGAATACGAGCGCAATGAAGGTGTGTGACCAGGGCCAGGAAAACCAGTTTTTATTTATTTATTGATTTATTTATTAAAAACATATGTGTTGAGAGATATATATCATAGGAAAAAAAATTATTTCAAATATACAGATAACTATTATCCAATTAGCGAATTAAAGGAGAAATGGAAATCTTTAGCGGACAAATGTCAACTCCCGCCCAAAACCCCACTCAACTTGGGTTCCTCCCAGGGAAAAAAATAAAAATAAAACTTGGACTACGGCAGATGTTTCTTCTTCTTCTTCTTCAGCAAAGGCCAAGATGCATCTAAGGGGCTATTATTTAGAAAGTCAGGTTATTTTATTTTTTTGCAAGTCCTTGTAGATTCGAATGAACAAAAAACCAAAACATCTAGCAATCGTTATGTCCAGTATTTCTTCCTCCAATTAGGGCTTTGAAATGGTCAGTGTCATAGTGAAGACATCTCATTGCTTCATGTCAACTCCTAGGACTTTTTTTTTATTGAAAAGAGCAACACTTCTATCTAAAAAGTAGAAAAAAGGGGGTTGGGAAAGGGACAAAAGGATGGATGGATGGATGGGCAAGAAGGTTCGTCTCTTATACAAGTTATCATTACACAGCCCTGGGCCGCCCGGCAAACTCTTCACAATCCTGGATGCTTTGGACTAGAGGGTGAGGAGGAAAAACAAAACGGCAGAGGTTGAAGTCAAAGGCAACTGAAGCTAGTCATCCTACGATAAAATAATTACAACTATAGAGTGGGCAACATGTCTTCCAACCTGGCCCCTTTGTTACCTCGACTGAGCTAAATCACAATATATACTCACGCATAAATCAAATTTGTGAGCAGGTTTTGAGGCCAAAATGATATATTTTGAATTACTTATAGAAGGGGAAAGCAACGGTATTACTTCAAGAAGCAAACCCGCTCTAACCGCTACTTCAAGAAGCAAACCCGATAAAATTATTACTACTATACAGGCGGATGACACGTCTTCCAACCTGGCCCCTTTGTTACCTCGACTGAGCTATATACTCGCATATAAATCGAATTTGTGAGCAGTTTTTGAGGCCGAAACGATATATTTTGAATGAGTTGTGAAAGGGGAAAGCAGTGGTTCTACTTCACGAAGCAATCACCTGTGGTCACCTGTGAATTTGCGCATCCCCGCCCATCCTCCCCGCTGTTGACATGCCTCAGTCCTTCAAGCTGCTACTTGCGGCGGAGGAAAGGAACTGAGGCAGTAGCCCCTCCCACTGGCTATATACTCTATGGGGAGAGTGGGCATGGCTACCGCCTAAAAGTGTCTAATAAGTTTGTTTCTAAACTCGTTTCGTTTTTAGGGGTCCATCGCATTTCGTTTCTTAAAAGAATTCCAAATTTTTCCTTTTAAAAATTTCAAAATTTACGAAATTTCGTATAATTACGAATCGATTCATTAATGGCAGACGCGATTGCGCAATATGCTAAAAAAACCTCCAAATGGGACAGAGGGAACTTCTGAAGCTTTCCTCTCCCTCTGTTGTTGACTGTTGGTGTGATAAAACAAACAACAACTATAAAACTTGCACCAGACATGCGAAAATAATTATGAAATAATAACGAAATAAATTGAAAAAATTGTTTCGAATCTAATTTACTCCTCACACTATTCCTGCATGGCTCAATATTGGATCGTAAGCTAATTTAAATACGAATTAATAACGAATTACGAAATTAACGAACGAAACCGCCCAAGCCTAATATATATATATATAGTGTCCCTACTTCACGGATTTTCACTTTTCGCAGGTGGTCCTGGAACGTAACACCCGCAATGAGTTTCTGCATCACTCCTTCTTCTTCTCCTACTACTAGTAGTAGGTATGGTGTCAGAATGCTGACTCACAACAGTGAGGGAACACTGTACTACACGTCTTCCAACCTGGCCCCTTTGTTACCTCAATTGAGCTAAATCGCACTATATATACTTGCATATAAATCAAATTTGTGGGCAGGTTTTGAGGCCGAAGCGATATATTTTGGATTACTTGTAGAAGGGAAAGCGGCAGTACTACTTCAAGAACCAAACCCGTTCTAACAAACCCACTCTAATTGCTACTTCACGAAGCAAACCCTATAAAAGAATTGCTACTATACAGGCGGGTGACACGTTTTCCCTACTTCGTGGATTTTCACTTTTTGTGGGTGGTCCTGGAACATAACACCCATGATAAGTAAGGGAACACTGTACTACTATACAACTGGGTGACATGTCTTCCAACCTGGTTCCTTTGTTACCTCGACTGAACTAAATCACAGTATACTCGCGTATAAATCGAATTTGTGAGCAGGTTTTGAGGCTGAAACGATATCTTTTGAATAAGTTGTGGAAAGGAGCGGCGTTACTTCACAAAGCAAACCCGCTCTAATTCGCTACTTCAAGAAGCAAACCCGATAAAAGAATTACAGTGTTCCCTCGCTACTCTGCGGTTCGCTTTTCGCGGACTCGCTGTTTCGCAGGTTTTTGCCTCCTCGCAATGATGGAGGCAACCAATCATTAAAAAGAGAGAGAGAGGAGATACAAAGCAGTATGTAAATCACGGCATTATAGCTTACACCTTCCTTATAGCTAAGAAAAATAGGTGCACGGTGTCTTTAAATCTCTCCTCACTTCTGCCTCACCTCGGAACGAAATATATATATATAGCGTCACTACTTCGCGGATTTTCACTTCGCGGGTGGTCTTGGAACTAACACCCACGATA